CTCGTACACTCAGCACTTCTCCAGTCATCTTGGCAAGATTTCCATTCAATTTCAGATCCAATTCCTTTGAGTAGGCTGCTGCAGCAACTTCTTTGAGGGTCAAGGATTCCTTGCTATACTTAATGGTGTCTCTTAGATGATCATAGGCTGGTGGCAATGAGTTTAATAAGAAAATGGCTTGATCTTATTCCTCAATCTCGATTTCAAGATTTTCCAAATCAGAAACCAGCTTTGTGAACTCATCAATATTGTCATCAATTGACTTGGATTCATCCATCTTGAAGCTGTAGAACTTATGCTTCAAATAGATTCGGTTTGGCAAAGCTTTAGTCGGGTAAAGCTCCTCTAGTTTACTTTACATTTGAAAGGTTGTCTTCTCCTTGATTACCTTCCTTAAAATCGTATCAAAGAGGCTAAGGATGATGGTGTTTCTTGCCTTCTTCAAGGTGTCAACCTTGTTTAAAGCATCAGTTTTTGATTGTTTTTTCAAAGCTTCCTCCAATCCCAGATTGCCAAGGTGTGCCATCATCTTCTCCCTCTATAGGTTGAAATCATTCTTGCCATCAAAATTTTCCACTTCAAACTTGGATGTAGACATGGTGTAAGAAAGACCCTGGCCAGTAATCTTCCTTCACCAAATTGTTTTTCCAACCAGTTATCCTAGAAAATTGAGGGCAGGAATTTCAGATTTCTTGAGTTCTTCTTTGCAGATTTGAAACCCAGCTCTGATACCAATTGTTGGGAATGTAATGGATTGCTCTAAGTCTGAACTTATGCTGAATGTCAGGAAGCACAGAATGCACCAGCAAAATTAATATGGAGAAGAAGACAGATTCAAAAAACAGCAGAAACAGAGGAATAAACCAATAGAGAAATAAAATTGAAACCAGCAAAAAGAAACACAGAGAACATATTGAAAACAGGAAGGTAAACTTTTCATTCATACAATATGAATCAGTGGAAGAATTTCAGATTTTCCTCACCAATCTCCACTTCCTACTACAGAATTACAGAATTTCTCTCATTCTCGAGTTGCCCTTTCACCACGCCTAACGCAGGTATTTATAGACACAAAGAGGTATCAAAAATGGTTATTAACTACCTAACTAACTAAGGCTCCATATAGTTGAAGATTCCAACCTAAATTAGTTGCAAAAACAGTTGGAATAAAGGCTACGTTCAACTGATTTTTGATTGATCTAGGTTGCTGAATTCTACTTTAAAGAAGGGCAGATAAATCATCAAGACACCAAACCGAAGGAGCGGGCTTTGGAAAATGTCGCCTTCACTGTATGCCTCAGCTATAATATTTTGCCTCAAGCTATAATTAGGAATAAAAAGCTGGAGGCCTCGATAAAGAAATCCAAAACACGCCCAAGAGAATCAAAGCCGGTTGTCTTGACACGAAGAGCGGATAGCAAGGCATAGCATCGACTGAGAGCATCAGGATCCCAATTCGTTACTAAGACTTGTGCTTAATAACAGAAGTAAATGGCTATACGTATCCTGACAATTATTAATATGGATTTAAGTCCAAGTATTGTTCCTGTTATTAACCATCAATTTCATTTAAACTAGCTTCAATGTAAACTAACATAAAAACCAATTAATGAGTTACTAAGTGGATATAAACTAAAATGTATAATAAATTCTAACACAATCAAGACTTGAACATTTTGCGAAAGATTTGGTGGGATTGAGTTGTCAGAAATTTCAATTTCACCTAGATCAATTTATGTTTATCTTCATTCAACGTACCACAGCCCTACTCATGCATGTTAAGAATCGAATTATCAAATTTAACTAGTAATAGCTGTCGAGTAAAATTATCCCTATTTACATGTACTCATGCATGTTAAATCGAATTATCAAATTCAACTAGTAATATCTCTCGAGTAAATTATCCCTATTTACATGCACGAACTTACAATATTTTTATATAAATTCCGATACACATAAATGCATTAAATTATACAAATTCACTTTAAAGGTTGCAGAAACTAAAAGAATATCTCTTGATCCCTTATCAAATCTATATAACTTATTGCACGAGCTAACATATATATCACCTCTCAATATCAGCACAGTCCTTAAATTCATTGATCGGTGATCAAGCAATTGAATTAAATAAGCACACAATAAACCATATACACAACACAATTATGGACATGAAGTCTTTGAATTTAATAAACACAAATGACTTAAGCTATATCATTCATTCTAAAATATAGAAACTTTGCCGCTCCTAACGGCAGAAAAATTTGAAGAAAGACATAAAACTTCAGGTTTTACTTGCTGGCGACTGACAATGATCTGAAAAATTGTTGGCATGCAGAGAAATGTTGTGGAAATGCACCAGCCCT